CAGTCGAGACCGAGAAGAAGCGAAAGTACGATTTACTGGCTAATAAACTCAGGAATGAGATGAATGCAGGACTAGAATAATTCCGTTTATGATGACTGGGATGGGATAGTGATGAAGTTTCACAATCATTACGCGAAGAAAATCAGAATATCTAATCACGTTGAAGCATATATTCAGTCGATAGTACTAAGAAAACGCTTGAAAGCATCTCATTTGATCAGCGTCATGGATTCGACTAGCAATGAAGATCAGCACAGCAGAACTGAGCGTGGGGCGAGTGCAGCGAGAATGCCAGAATCAATAATGAAGAAAAGAAGAATAATCTCCGTGTGATATTGACTGATTGATTTATAGTTTTTGTTATTAATTCATAATAAATGCACATTAATAGTCAGAATTCTAAAAGTCCATCTCGTAATTGCTGTAATCTTTTATCTTGCAAATACTTTATTATTTTTAAAAAATTTGTTACTGCACTTACATTGAACAGTTAATGTATTACAGCTTTTGGAGCAATTTTCCGAAATCGATTGAAGGATCGAGCACTTCAGAAGAACGTTCCTTCTGTAATAACATTTGAGTGTTCTGTAGTTGGTAATCCAGAGCCTACTGTTAAGTGGTTTTGCAATAACAGCCCACTTGTGAACGACGAAAACCACAAGGTCCTGTAATTCTTCCATCTGCATCAAGTTTTTTTATTACGTCGAATTTTTAACGGAAATCATAATAAACATATAAAAGTAAATTTGAGCACAAATAACTTCTGAAAGTAATAAATGACGTGATTGGATTTTTTTCTGTTTCAGATAACCATTGAAGATGGACTCTGTCAACTGACAATTAATAAAGTCGATTTGGTAGATCTCGGAGAGTATACTTGTGTTGCATCGAATGAACTTGCAACTGATAAAACATCCGCCCGATTACTTGCTGGAGGTCAAACATTTAGAGCTCAGTTTAGCAAAATTTGACGTATTTGAGAAAGGACTCAAATTACTATTGCATTTTGAATAAAATATACATTAAATATGGAGAAAGGAACAGTTTGCATTACAAACATAGTTTCAGATGGTCCAGCACCACCTGGTAGACCGGAAGTAGAACTTTCGTCCGATACTGAAGTATTCATCACATGGGAAGAACCACGTATGAACTATGGTTTAGAATGCTTCATTTATAAATTAGAAGTTCGACCTGCAGGTATTTATCATCCTTATTTATCATGTTAATAATTAATTTACTACAACGGAATTTATTTTCCATATCAAAGCACAAATAGTCAATAAATTTTTTCAGAATAATCTGAGTTTATGAATTTATTTGTATTCATTTTCCTATAAAATAAGCTAAAGTATTACTTTTAAATTGATGCTGAACGATTGAAATTTAGAAAATTATCATTGAAAATTATAGGCAGAAATGATATCTTCTCAGAATGGCGTCTTGTCTCAGATAAAATTGAGGATAAAGCTGCGATAGTCCAACATTTAACTCCGCAAGGTGTTTACCAATTTCGTGTAATCGCCAAAAATGAATTCGGTTGGGGGACTCCCTCTGTTACTTCGAGAATCATACAGACACATCCAAAAAGTAAAGTATTTTTAAATAGAAAGTGTAATTCGATAATATGATATATGTAAATTAATCCCATATTCTGTAAAATTATCTCAAGTGACTGATTACACTGTGTAATTAGAATTCAAACTGTACTATCTGACTAGAATTTAAAGCACTTTAAGAAGTAAATATTCAATCAGCGAGTAAAGCTTTATTTTTAATTATAGGAGCAAAATTTACATAAAAATTTAATTGGATGAATACACCTTAATTTACCATAATTAATACTGAAATATTTAATTTTCTCAATGCACAATTTTTCTATTCGAAAGAATTTAATATTTTGAGAAAATTATAGTAAATTAGAAGAATAAAGTTTGTAATGACTATTTTGTGTTCAGCCACACGAAATGAAAAGTAAGTTTTTGCAGAGATTTTTCGTTCTTACGTTGCTTTTACGATTTTTCAGTAGAATTGAACTTTAATTGTGTACCTTTTCATTTTTTCCGCATCAAATAAACTAATTCATATCAAAATAGGAAGACTGGTTGATAATATTTTCTTGAGGAATTTTTATCTGGCCGATTAATATTAATGCAGTCGAATTTAATTCAATTTTATTGCTTCATACAGTTGGATAGATTGCGACTAATATCGTATGTTTCAGATTCACCAAAACTAGACATTGATAAGCTTCGGTGTCGTTATCGAGTATGCGTGGTTTCAAAACCACCTAGGACGCAATTGGTTTCAAGGTTAAGGAGTCTTGGAGAAATTACAGAGGAGGATGAGGAAAAATTGGAGCAAAATGTGGCTAAAACTCCTATTTTGGCACTGAATACTACTGAAGAGCCACGAGGAAGATTTCAAGTAATCCGAAAAATTTTTTATTCATTTCTCGGTTTTATTTCATAAATATTAAAGGTGAGTAGCTCAGTGTTAAATATATGTTTTTATTTGTATTTTTGATGAAAAAGTCTACTTGCAATCAATTTCAAAGCTACAAAATCTGAAATACACACAGTGAAGTTTTATAAATGCTCGACATTTGTGAGAGTTAACTTTGAAAGCTTTGTGTATTATCAGCTCATGGATTTGATACCTCGCGGTCGCTTTGGTCAAATTATGATTGCTATCGATAAGTTCCGAGAATTTGGACTTCACTGTATCGCTAAAATAAGAGATTTGAACGTGGCGAATGGTTGTATTGAATTCGAAGCTTTGAGAGATTGCCAACAAGAAAATGTTGTGCGATTGATTGCCGCTTATCAGATGTATTTTTTTCATTTTCATGGAATATAATTGTTATTTTTCGGTTATTACAAATTGTTTAACTGTTCGTTCAGCTTAATAGCTTTAAATGCTTTCATCCATTGAACATGTGATAATTTAAATTTCAATTAACGTATGATTATTTTTTAGCTTTCTTAATAGCAAAAACAAAAAGCAGCTAAAATTAATGCTGAATGCTTTGTTGCAGAAACAACTCGTTGTTATTATTTATGGAACGTTACGAAGAGGATTTATTTGAGAGATTCACATATCGTGATGAGTACAATGAGGAGCAGATCAGCAGGGTTATAGTTCAGATTGCTTCCGCTCTTCATTGGATTCACTACAAAGGGTATGTATATCTCTAAGAAAAACTATTCATAAATACGCAGAAAAAGATAAATTACAAACTTATTGTGATCGAAATTTGATAAACATTAATTGTTTGTAAGTATTCTGTAATATACAACAATAAATTGTTAATTATATCAAATTAATGAATGTTTTGGCATTACATTTTTATGCTTATTTTACTACTGAACAGTTAAGTGTTGAGAAGTAACTCAACAAATCAATAACAGAGGCATTAGAAATATTTCTAAAAAAATAATTTATTTATTTATTGCTGATAAAAAATATAAACGTGAATATTATATCGCAAATAAATATTTTGATCAAAATAATCACATAAAGTCATTTGAATACAAACAAGCTAATTATATTTTACTGATCTAATTATGGAGAAAAAATTTGTTCACAGTTTGAGTCAGCTTATATTCAATATTATTTGGCATCTTAATTAATTATACATAATGAGATTGAATAAATCAGCGCTAAATTTGCTTTAAGTTATATTCACATGGATGTGCAAGCAACCAACGTTCTGCTCGTATCTCACCAGTCCTGGCAGATTCGACTCACCGATTTTGCTTCAGCTCAAAGAGTCAGCTCAGATATCAAGCAACCCAAGCAACTCAGTTTGTACTGGTCTGCACCTGAAGTTCTAAAAGCCGACGAGAAAAAAATTGCCGTTTCAACTCAAGCTGATGTTTGGGGTCTTGGTGTGATTGCTTTTTGTCTGTAAGTTGATTTTGAGCATTATTTGAGAGAAATCTGCGCATATTTTATGTATTTTTGTAATTTTTTTCACTATCAATAAAAAAATGCAATGCTTAGACGTGTAGCTTTTTAAGCTCAGAGCAATTATGTTCTCAAGTAGTAAAAAGAAAATGCGTGCTCAATACAAATGACTCGTGTCAGAACGATTCTCAAAATATTTTACTTCTGAATTATTCTTCGGTAAAATAATCTATAATGGCGATCACTAAGCAGTGTGTATTGTAAAGTAAGAGGCAAAGTAAAAGATCATAATGTGGTTAATTGGTAACATCGAAGGTCAAGGAATTAGAAACAAAATACATGTGATCATTTATGATCTTTTACGTTGGTGTGATTCTGATAAATGTAAGAAACAAAGTAGGGTGGTGTATAGATAGATTCGTATACTTGAGTTTCACTATTTATTACTATTTTTCATCTTTAATTTTGTCTTTGTTTTCTTTCTTGTGTTATTGTTAAATATGTAATGTTTTTGAGCCAATTCAGAAATGTTAAAAAAAAATATGCAAGCTAATTTATGCAAAGGCTTTGTTTTGAAATTTGCATTTAGATTGAGTGGATTCCATCCTTTTGCAATGGAGGGTGATTCAAGTGATGAGATTAAGGCAAATATCATCAATCAGAAATGCAATCCAAATTTAATTCATATACAAGCAACTCAAGAATCACTGAGATTCGTGACATGGGCTTTGAAAAAAGATCCAATGTAATTTTTCTTTTTTTTTTAAATTATTTTGTTTCGAAAAAGTTATTTCATTGATTCAAAACAAGCAATTCTGCCTTTAATTTATATGTTATGATGGATTTTAGGAGAAGAATACGTACAGATGAAGCTTTAACTCATCGATGGCTAAGTAATGATTCAACATTGATACGGAAGCGTGAAAAAGTAAATTATCCAAGTAGCCGATTAAGGAAAACAGCACTTCTCTTGGCGGATTTCACGAAGCGACAAGCTTCAAATTCTGTATATCAGGAATCTAACCAACCTGCTTGTTCATAATTCTTCAAATTTTTTAGCACCAAAGCAGAGATACAGGTATATTAGCAAAATTAGCTGCGAGGTTCACTTTTTAATTTCAAGTACTTAAGTCCAAGATTGAATCGCTAAATTAATATTCAGTGCCACTTTCAAAACTCTGTTAAAATATTTGTTTATTGATCATTTAAATGCCACAAAAAAGTTTGTTAGATGATTGCCTAATAGATGACTTGAAAGTTACTTGTAGTTGTTGAAGCTTTATTTGTTTAACTCATGTAAATTGCTTACTAATTAAAAGAGTAACTTTTGTATTTTCGCAGGAAATGAATTTTATGTTGAATTTATGTTAGTTTTGCCATCGCAAAGTTGTTGTCGACTGCTCATCTAAAGTTAGCTGATTTGTGACACGAAATTGACTTTTTATTTGTGAAAATAAACTTATTTAGGTTTCTATTTGAAAGAATAATCAACTAGTGTCAGTTTATTTCTCGGTAACATGTTACTTGTTTAGATTAGAAAGTATTAGTATTGCACGTTCTGTAATTTGTTCAACTTGAAGATTTGAATTATTGTCATTTTTGCCCGCGAAACGAATGCACCTGCGTTATTTGTTAATAAAGTCTAGCTGTACGATTTCTGTAATATTTCACAGTACATTACAACAATATGTTGTTCTCTTATATAGAGATCGAAATATCAATCATCTAATGACCGATATATGAAGTATTTTTTAAGAATCGTTGATGAATTTCAGTAGAAATTATAGAAATCAAGAGGAGAAAATAAGAGTCATTCGAAAAAAATAATGCGCTTGTAAATTGTGAGCAAATTTGATTCAAGTCGTACACTAAATATGCATGCATTTCGCATTTATTCCATTGTTCTCACAAGTCAATCTCTGAAGTGATTTGTAAAAATTAACTTTTCCGTTGATCTGATCAAATACTAAAATTTTGTCTAGTGGTCAACACTGTAAAACAGATATGCGTGCGTAAACTTTAATTCCGACATGGCTCTCATTTTCGATACGATGGAGATTTCTATGTCATATGAATGGAAACTTTCATGACACATGTACTAATTTTGAATACCGATATTCTTTTAATTTTGCAATTAATCCGAGTTAGAAATTCTACCTATAAATTTTTAGTCAAAAAATAAAGTATATGACGAATAATTCCTTCAAAATTCAATGACAAAAATTTGCATATGATTTCATCTTTGAAAATTTTTTGATACCAAAACTCTGATTAACAGCGATTTCTTCAATTTATGAGAATTTTTTCTTCACTGATTTTCATACTGTTTCCTAGCAAGAAGCATTAAATTCTGAATTTAGCAAACTATCAGAAAGAAAATTTAAATCATATTTTAGCTCGGGTAACTGATTTCTATCTTCACAGTCCTCATATTTAGATTTTTTCTTCAAAAATTGGAAAGTAATCGAAGAAATAAAACGATTTGGACAGTTAATCAATCAGTTGATTCTGATTGCTATGCTTAAATTACAGTATCGAATATCCGGACCGCTGCTACTGGAATTTTCTTTTTACTCACAGACTTTAAAATCTGAGAACTGATAATTGCGCAGTTGCGCTCATTCATTACGGTAGTAATTTCTATCAATTTTATTAATTCAAATTACTGTGAGATTTTTGTACAAATAAAAAACATTTTTATAATCCTTTTACCGTGATGATCACGTAATTAATGTAATTAGCAGTTGAAATGTTCCTTTTTAATGGAATTAAAATTATCATTTGTAATTTGAAAAAAAGCATTCTTAATCATCTAATGAGATATGAATTGACAGATGACGTTATGAATGAATAGGTGAGAGATCGTTTGATTTTCAGCGAGATCTTAGCCCCTCAAATGTGCTATCGATTTGAGATAAGTAACACTTCCACGGCTCACAATTCTTATCAAACATCATCACCTGTCCAATCCTAAATAATTTTAGAAGTCTAGCACTTGCTTTTATGAATTGTTTTTAGTTATTACCATTATTATCATTATTATGATTGCTTATATATCTTCACATTACTTTGCTCTTTGATATTGCCTAATCATCTCTTTTTCCAATCTAGTTGATAAAAGAACATATTTCTGATATTGAAAAACAAATTTTTGAAAATTACCATTTGTCGACTTTTATTATTGTTATGATATTACTAGTGCTGTTATCGCTAGTACTTGATAAAAACTTGTTATTGTGTTGTTATTATTACGATATTATTAGTACTGTTATCATTTTATTATTATTATATTACTGGTATTGTTACTATTAGTAATTATTTTTTACAAAAACGATGCATAAAACGTCATAGACAGATTCATAGATGTCTAAGTATTTATTCAACTCGCTTAATAATTTATTAAAAAATTAATTAAACAAAATTTTGCATCACTTTTGTGACACTCATGTTCAAGTATAAATTCGTGTCAAGTTGAAATATTATGGAACATTGCTATTTCAGTACTTCTGTTAGGTGCTTAAACTGCTTAATATATTATTGAAGCTTAGCTTAACTAGTAACTGAGATTTTTATACGACTCGAGGCAAAAATAAGTTTTTATCCCAAACTTACTGCAGATTTTTAGGCAAAAAAATAATGCACTAAATTTTCATTGAAAAAACGATATATTCAAGAATTTGCTGATAGCAAGTTTAAGCTATGAAGGAGATTTCAAGAACAGGTGGCTAAAGCTATTGACTTGTTGTTAATCTCATTTCACTAAATTAAAAGAGTTGCATTCAAAACTAGCAATAGAAAATAACTAATGATTGAAAGTAACATAAGAGTTTGACTCCACGTGATAAGTTATCACTTACGATTATTAATGCTAACTCTGCATAATAAGACGTAATTGTTAACGTGCTAACAGAGTTGTTAAGTGGAAAAAAGAAATGATTTGTAATGATAGAAAAAATACAATATGTTTCATGAAATAATTATGCACAGTGACAAGATACGTTAGAGAGAACTACTAAATTTGGAAGCAACTAAGCATGTTGTTGAAGGAAAAACACTTGTAATGTTAAGAATTATTAACCAGTCTGTAGTAGAAATAGCTTGATAAAACTTCAGAATGTTTTGAGTATCGTAATTTTCTTGCTAAATTATACATTGCATATTATTTAATTGAATGAAATTACGATTGTATTACTATTATCTTTAAAAATTATGAGATAGATATTAATGGGTGCCAATTTGTACTTATTATCCATGACGTAAAATTAAGTTTGCCCTTGTAAATATATCAAATTCAGAGCATATAGAACTATGCGAATCTTTCAGATGAAGGGTGATAGATATCAGAGGGATATAAAATAGTAGCACAAAATGTTTTGATAATTGCATTTTTGAATAATTAATCAAAAAATTAAGTAATTTAATTTGATTTCACCACTTGCATACTATAGTTTTGATAAAAATATGCTTTTTGGAGCATATTTCAATTTACAGTTTAAAAAAATGTTTAATTTTTGTTAGATTCAGTTGCATTTTTTTCACCAAATATACGAAAGCTCGTTCTTGTTGTGTTCTTAAGCACTGAAAGCAACACAATGCAAAAATATTTTACTTTTTGTCAGTTTTGTTGGCGAGCTCATCTAAAAGTGCTTACTTTGTCATATGCGAGTTTATTCAAGTAATCATTATTGAACTACCTTGAGACTGCTCACAAGTTGGAGCTTAGTTTATCAATTAGATAGATAACCAGCAATGAATTGTAAACTCAAGACATTGGCATTTTACAAATATGGATAGAAACTTATATTATAAAAAAATCTGACTTAATATCGAAGTCCATTGAAAATATTGTTCTCCTCATCACTTATCGCCATCATTTGAATTATTTATGAATTTTTATTTTTAATCAAAGTAGGCTCAAAGAGTTTCTTTTTTTTATTATTTGGAAAATAATTCCCTTAGGCTTATATAATTTTTGGACTCAAACTTTTTTCGCACAAAGATTTGGTCAAATATTATTTATGCTGAAATATCAAAAGTTTAGTTTCAGTTTTAGAGTTTTTTGAGTAATATTTACAAGTTATCAAACGTTTTGAGTAATATTTACAAGTTATCAAACGGTTTGAGTAGTACTTGCAAGGTATTAAGCGACTGATTTTCTGTACATAAAAGCATCCATCAAGTAACTCAATTTGAAAGTAATCAAAACGGTTATTAATCCTTAATAGAAGTTTCTAAACAAAAACAAATTTGTTCTTTCAAAAATAAATGCAAAACGCTTATTGTGTTTGCAATGTTTTTTGCAGATGAAAAGAGGAAAAGCTAAAAAGAATTATAGTTGACATAATTTGAGAAAAGTCGATTCGATTGAAATATTCTTTTTTAAACAAAATACGCTTCAATTTTTGCAACAGAAGGAGTGCTAGAATTGACGAACAAGCAAGCAAGCAAGCATCACTTAGTTGTATTTCATTTCTGCACATTTTTCATTATTCATTGAATGCCAAAAATGACTCAGAAACGAGTAGTACACGTACATTTATTTAGTAATAACACCTTAGCAGCTATTTTTAAGATAGACATAAATCACAGTTATATTCGTTTTATATTATTGTCATTTTTCACAAAGACTCACCAAATAAATATTCTTCAGTGTGCTTTTCACTTCTCCAAAATTGGCTCATTTGCTTAGAATGCTCTTTGTCTTTCCAAAACAAAATTTGCATCTTATTTGAAAAACAATACAATTTTGAAGCTAGGTTTAATTTTGCGTAAAATCCCACCTTTCATTTTTTTTTCTTGTCTATTTTGTGCATGATATTTTGTTCAAATTTTAACAGTAAATTTTGTAATGTTTTGAGATTATTGTCAAAACTATTTTCAAATATTAACTAATCAATTAATTAATTGCTTCAGATAATTTTTTAGAAAAAATTTTCATATCACTTTTTTTAGATTATGATATTATATGTATGAATTTTGTATTCAACAAAATTATATTGTAAAAAAATTATTTTTGCACAATGTATCCATTAAAAAAAGTTTTCAAAACAGCCACCAACTGCTTGAATTAATTTTAATAAAGTCATAATTATTGAATAAGCTGAAAATATAATTAATAAAGAAAAAAGTAAGAAATAAAAACATTATGAGTGCAGCGAAAAGTTGATAAAATTAGAACTCCAATATTGCTTATAATAAGAAATATCAATTTATTCAAAAAAACAGGAAAATATTATTCGATCAATTAATTTATTTATGAATTTGTTCTTCAGATAAGTAGAAAAAAATAAAATAAAAACTGCAAATATTAATTGTGCATTTTTTCTCTTATTCAATCATTTTGAATTTTATTTGTCACTTTCAGAAGGCTAACAAATTTGAACAATAGTGTAATAATCAGTCTTATGATTTTTATATGAATGAACTCGTTTGAATATCAGTCTTACTTTTTTGTCGAAACTAATTTCAAGTTGTTTTTCAAATTTTCAGCTTTGCTTTCAGTCATAGTGAAAATTGTGATATACATCACTAGGCAACATTTTACGTATCGCTCTTTCAATTTTAAGTGATGTTGCTCATTATACAATCTAATCAATTAAATAATATAATTATTAGCATGTGAGTTAATCAAATTCAAATAATATTAAATAGCATAATTATTCATGCCAATAAAATAATGTAATTATTAATTAAATAATACAACTATTGTCATGTCAGTTATTTTAACAGACTGAATGATTAACTAAGTTATTACCACATAAACTAGCTAGGTAGCTTTGAATAAGCAAAGTCGTTTATTTGTCGATAGTGATCTTCTTATTTTCAAAAGAATTATCTCGCAACTTATTTGGATTTTCATCTGGATATGCAGTATCTGAGTTTCTTGTACTTTATTTCATGACATTAAACATTATATCTGATGCAGTAAGTTACCTAACTTACTACTTGTAACATGTTTAAATTACTTATCAACGTTTTTAATCACTTTATGAATAGTATACTATATTTTTGGCAAATTTTTGATAAATTTTGATCATTTTTCAAAACTTTCTCAATTTTCCAGCTTAATTCATTCAGTAATTGTAACCTTTGAATAATATTAAAATAATAACATGTATAGTTCTATGAAGCATATTGCATTCTGAAGTATTTTTTTGAATGCATGACATCCGATACTTTTTATTCTTCCTCGATTAATCAACATGCTTTACAAAGTAGTTATTTTTAAAACAACACTAAAAAATAGCTTGGCATGACTAGGACAAGCCTTTGGTATCGTTTTCAGTTCCAGAAAGATATCTAACATGCATGGAAATGTTGTTTAATGGCGTCAAATTAGGAGAAATAACGCATCTCGTACCATCCCCACCTTACTCTACTCAATTAATTATTTCCGGTACTTACTTACTTACGTATGCAATTTGAATTTGTAATTTTTTACTTCAAGAAGATTTAGCATTTAAATTATTGAATTTTCTTCAGATAGAAGTCTGCAGATTCTTAGCGACTCAATGCATTTGTTACTCATGCTAATAATTTGCCATTCTTACGAAAATCTATATATTTAACGACCTATTTTTATGAAACACTGCTTTGTATCATTCTTGCAAAATTATTCTTATAAAATACTGTATTCGTAATAGCTCATTTTTGTGCTATTTCACATCGATGATCCCACGTATTATGCTGTAACATAAACTATTTTATATAAGCGATATTAGTGCAGCTTTTCAACATCATAATGAAGAGCTTCTGGAATTGGATTCTGGATCAGAAGATGAGTACTACACGAAAATGGCAATCAGCAATGTTAAGGACTGATGGCTATCACCCAGGGGGCACTGGACAGATGAAACTAATCGGTGGTAGTGATGATGAACTCGAACGTAAGCAAAGACAAAATTCCAGTGCTGCACAGACAATTCGTGGTAATCATAAGATTAGCTTTTCATTGCAAAATTTCGATAACGTTGGCGAGAGTAAGTCAATAGACTTCGATGAATTCTTCGATGAATCTTCGAATGCCATCGAATCCGCTTTGGTTAGTTTATTAGTCTGCCAACATAAATGATTAAATAAAATATACTAAAAAACATCTTAGATTTTTTCTACTTCTGACCACTAAATTTTATTTTAATTAATTACGCTTATTATATTTGCCGAAATGCTCCAGAAAAATATATATCATACATAGAAATGTTGTTTTGTGGTGTCAAATTAGAAGAAATACAATTTGGTGGTCATTACTTTTACGGACTAATTTTTCTTACAAATTGTAAAATTGTTTTTACGACAAATTGTAAAATTGTTAAGTTATTTTGCTTTGAACTTTAACATTCATAGCAGTTTGCTTATGAATGTTTTTGGTATTAAGCCATAAAATTGACTAGCACACGAGATTTTTAAACAGCTAGCTGACTTCACACTGTTCTTTCATATTTTGCAAATTAAAAACTGAATATTTTCGATAAATTAATAATTATTACTTAACAATTTTTTCCTAATAAAGTAAGCACGAAGAAACATGTTATCTATAAGTCGCTGTTTAAATTGTGCATATTATTGTATAAAAATATGCAAAAATAATCAACAATAATAGTTCTTCTCAACAACAGTGCCTAAAAGTCTTGAATAAATCTGCTCAGCTCTCATCGTTTGTATATTCCACCTTCTTGTACTTATCATTAATATATTATATTATTGTATTACAAATTATATCACAATTATGTTACGTTACATACTTTTTAGTGTACATCCTTTCCCATATATTGAAAACAAAAAGTAATGCTGCTGATGACACTATTTCAAGAAAAAAGTTTAGTAATTAGAATAACGTTCCAGTAACTATAATAACATTGCATAATGATAAAAAAACGAGTGGAAACTAAATAATGAATTACTCAAAATATACGGTACTAATGGTTCATTAATTAAAAAATATTAGTACTAGTAATAGCGGGCTTATGAAGCTGGAGAACTTTTAAATTATCAATATTAGAATTATCACCAGTATCGCTCTTATTTACTCACTTGTTTAACAATCAAAATTGTATGGGACTGTGATAGCAGCAAATTGAGATTAATTATAGAAAAGTTTTCGAAGTAGTCTAATCAATGAAACAAAGAATTCTGGTTCGATTGCCGATCATTTTTGATCAAACCATTTCATTTCTTAAAAGCTTGACTAGAATGATCAGGAGTTGGAGTGTCGTATGATATCATATTAGATGTTAAAATTAATTGCATTTACTGATGACAGTGTTGACAGGTTGCTGAATTGGAAGGTCATAATTTTAGAGCTAAGGTAATGAATGATCCAAAGTTAATATGGAAAATCATTAAAACTATTTGATATGTTTGGAAGATGCCCGTGCCGAGATCAAGCCAAAAACTTTCTGTTTACGATACGATTGCCCTACCATTAAAACCAATGAGGTTTACGAATATCTCATTTTAATACAAGTTGCATATTATACTTTTTTTTTAAGTTTTGGAGTACTGAATTAATTAGAATTAATGATTCAATGCAATGAAAAATTATTATATAAATCTTAAATGTCATTTGTTATTATAAATGGAAAGCAGATATTCAAGTAACACTTATTAACCCATTACTTCTATGAGTAAATAATCATAATTTTACCAAATTGTTCTATGCTTCATCATTAACTGTGGGCCATTTAACAATTTTTCAAATTTGAAATATAACTAGTCAACTTTCATTGCTTAATAAACGTTGGGTAAATTGGTAAAATCATTCACTCGCACAAAATGCAAGCTAATTCTGCAAATAAATGTGATAAAATATTTTTGCATCTATTCATTAGTTTAAAAAAGCGCGGTGAATTGTTTTTTGCAAATATATTTTGTCACACCGATAATGAGTAAAATATAGATCTCACCAGCTATGAATCACAGTAGATTCTAAACTAATAAATTTTTCTTACAGAGAGGAGCAAAGAATACTTCTGGTCCGAAATTGAATGCAAAAAAGTCATCGCAAGTAGCATTTCCATCAAGTTCCACGTAATTTGAATCATTCAATTCAATATTGGTTTAAATCAATTACTTTAAATTCAATCTAACAAAATGAACTAAAAACTTGATCAAATTGTTTTGATTGAATTTAAAATCAGTGTGTTTGTGCTGAAAATCATAACTAAACAAATGTTCATCTAATTTATTTGTTTTGAAAATATATGAAATTCATCACTACTTTAAAATTTTTAAAATTCTCAGTTTTCAAAATTTCAGAGAAGTTGAAAGCGATGCTTCTAATGAATTTGATGAATTTTCTTCGTATTTTACGATCAACACAACAGCTTCTGTTCCCACAGTTCCTTGATAACTTTTATTATTTCTTTTTAGTATAATATTTAGGATATTAAATAAAAAAATAAAAAACATAGCTCAATTTTAATCAAAGGATCAGAGTTGCTTATTCTTGAATCACAAACTATCTTACAGGTACAAATCGAAATCGATTTAAATTAAAGATATTATTGTCAAATTGCGTTCAAGTGATTTTAGGTATCCACATCATTCCCTGATGAGCCATGTACATCCAACGGCGATTCTGTTACTAAGTCTTCTTCCGCTGATGTCTGTACTCATCGTACTTCAAAAGATAATACTGCTTATTCTTTGGGAGCAGCAAAAAGAAAGGCTAAAAGTAAATCTAAAATATCATCTGTAAGTCAAGCTAGCATTTATGATAACGACAAGCAAGCACTCGAAAGACTCGACGAAGGTAATAATGATTTGCCACCTCTGAAGCAGCAAAGTAATGTCCAAGTAAGTGGGATTCATTTTAAATTCGTTATTCATTTCTTTGAAATGATATACGATCATTTTTTCTGCTCTTAAACAGTCATTAATCTCTTTTTTAATAAATCTAAATCTAATTACTACGATATTACAAAAAATTTCTGCTTATCTTGGGAAATTTCTACCATGAATTAATCAATAATTTAAAAAATGCGGTTATTTGAAAATTTTTAAAATACGTATTTATTTATTTGTGAGTATTCTTCTCGAAATTCCTATAAGTGTCAATTTTTATTTTCGAAAAAACTACAGTAATTTTAGATCTTTAAAAACTTGCTTCCCTTCATCTTTGAGTTATAGGATCTGCATTTTTTCTTTAGACTGACTAGTTATGAATTTTCTATAGGATCTGCCATTTTTTTAAACTGTTATGAATTTTTGTTGGCTATAAGCTGCAGTTATTGTTGAAATTACTGCTATTTAATAACGAAAACTTAATTATCGTTGTTTTGGATATTACACTTATCACTGCTACCAACGCTACATTTCTGTAATTTCCATTTCTTGCTTGTTTTGAGATGCGTATTGTTTCGTTTTCACTGCCAGTTTTGTCATCCCTCTTCATATCACTGTTATTACCAAAGCTGGTTCAAAATTATGAATAAAATAAAGTTGTGAGAAATTATCAAATAAAAGGACTTCAAAATGAGTTAGAAAAAGTGGAAAAGCCTGACAACGACAAAATAACAGTTTCAGGTAGTACAGACATTAAGTGGCCGTCGATCATCGACAACTTTATTTCCACTCACGTCTGCGCAAATTAATTTAGTACGTAGCATTTGGCGTCAAGTTTATATCACTAAAGGTCCAATCGTAATTGGCTCAACTTTATTGCATCGAATTTTCTTCAAATCAGTCAAAACCAAGCAACAATTTGTTAAGTGCATATTTCCGCAACGCTTTCCTAACCGCGACAGCTTTAACAAATCACACGCAAAGGCATTTGGTGAAATGTTGGATAAAGTACGATATAACTTTTAAGAATTATTCAAATTTCTGATCAAACAAAGCCTATATCGATAAATGACAGTATAATATTGCTAAAGTATTCATATGGTAATTAAAACGAACAAATATTTTCTAATTCTACACACAAAGTATGAAGAGTGCTAAATTTTTGATTAAACATTTTCCCATGATTCTTCGTCAGTCATTATGGAAAGTTATTGCTTGAAGGATATATTTTTGATTTTGAACTGAATTTCTGCCATTGAGAACGAATCAATATTCAATAACTGTATATATTTTCGAGAAATCCAAACTTTTCTACTTCATATCTTTTATTTATGTTTAAGATTCTATTAACACATACAAATTCCAAGTTTCGGTGAATTATTGACACAGAAATTGAGATTGTAAAATTTGAAAATAATAATATTATTCACAAAATTATCTGAGCAAAACATTTTTTACTATAAATCAAAAAATGAAAGAAAGAAAGTTTAGGATAATACTCTTGAAGAGGAAATGTCATTACATTCAAAAAATACACTCTTCAAAATGATATTATATTATATATCACTGAAAATTGATATTATAGATCATTGAAAATTTGGAAAACTTAGAATTAATGGATGGAACTTTGCAAGCGATCGGCGCTCTTCATGCAGAGGTTAATAAACACAGTTTTGATCAACTATTAATTTAAGTCACTCTTATAATTTTAGCAGGTCATTTTTCTCAACTAAGAACAACATTTACTATGTGATTTATTGATTTTACATCAAGTTTTTAATTTATCAGGAATAAATTTTGCTAACTGCTGATACTACGTTTTAAATCGCAAATGAAACTCTCTATTCGATTGACTTACAGATTATTAGGTTCATGAGCAAAAAAATTTCTGTCTAAGACTAATTTACTTAGATTGATGGAATAGATATATCCAGAAGAATGTGGAATTTAATGGCTGAGGTATTCATTGACTGCACTTTGGAGTGGGGTGATAAAAAGGGTCGTACAGAGACAGCAAGAAAAGCTTGGGCTTTAATTATTGCATTTGTGATCGAGAAAATTAAAGCTGGTCATGCAAATAAGGTGGATTCTTATTAAGCACAATCAGTTTTTTTTTTTTGAATTTATAGACAAGCATTCATTCTAAAAAGTAAAGTCTTCACGTTGAAAAATGAGAATATTTCAGAGGCGACAATTAGCTCAACTCAGACGTTGTCCATTCAGCTCAAATCAGACGTTGTCTACTATCTCGAGAATGTCATTTGAAACTCTTTCTCAGCCACATGTTCCGTCAGTTCGATTGCAAAAGCAACTTTCTGAACTTTCACCTGAAAATGATTGATTTTGAATAAAAGTAAAAGAGCAATAATATTTTAATTACTTAACAGACAAGTAAATCTTTTAGTAACTTTTTCCAAATTTGACTGATACGCATCTTGAATTAGTCATGAACATTTAGGTAAGAAATGAGCTTGCAGCAAACAATATTTTATTACTTTAGACATAAATTGTTGTTTTTGTTAGACTTCACATAGACTGCTAATAAGACATTATTGCAAGAAAATGTTTTTTGAAAATTAGTATGGTATGCTCAATATTATGTTGATTTTAATTTTGAAATTAATAAATTATACTGTTTGGGTGCAAATGAGCTCACAAAAAATATCATTTTGACTTCCAATATTTTGAATTGTGTCTCTGTAGATTTTGACGTCCTCAGCTATTACCTATTAATACAAAAAAAGAAAGATGAGTAACAAAAATCAAAATGATATTTGTGGATTGAAAAAGAAGTATAAGAAACTAGAAGTCACGGATGATGGCATCAGTTTTGAATTGTGAATCAATGTGACAAATGCTATTAGATTCAATAAAACAACGTCTTTCTCTCAAAAACTCTGGAAAACTAAAATGGAGTCAGTTTGATGTACTGATGGTAAAAACCGAAATCCTTTTATATACTGTATTTTCTGCCGCAATTATTTGTATCCTTGAAAGTACTATCACTACTTAACACATTATTACCAGCTTTATCAATGTTACTGTTGCTTACTAAAACTCTTTCTAATTACCCTAACACACTATTGCTGTCAATAAATGTCACTGTTACTCAGTAAATTCCCCAACTCACTACTCATACTTGCTGACCTCATGCTTCCACGATTTATTAGCAGTCATTGACAATTATAACCAGTACCTTCTATTCTTGGCGCTATCATTACCAACCATTATATTATTCTGCGCTAGCAGAAACATCGTTTAAAGAAGTCATTAACTGCTGCCTGTGTTTACTGCTAATACTACTACTATCAATTATTTTTGGACAATAATGATAAAAATAATCTTGTGATGTTATGTGAATAGAATTTCATAGACAGTGAAAGAATTAATGGTGATTTCTATATAAAAGTTTAACTACAGCAAAGATAAGATTCATTCTCTATGTGTCAAAAAGTAACGTAAATATTTTTAACCATCCACATTTTTCGCTTAACCATCCACACTCGATTTCACTACAATACAATAGGATAATAAAATTATTGTACAAATAACATTCTTTACTGCTAATCACAACTTCGAATTTAGTGTTATAATAGCAAATCACTTGTTTTCTTGCTAAGTGTAACAGAAGAGCACATTTCTGAAGCTAATTTTGGTAGCTAGAGAAATGTGGTGAGATCAATTGGTTAATTATCCAAGCAATTTTGTTATTTTTAGTAAAAAGCTATCGCAGCATATCAATTTACCTTGTATGTGTGCTATTGTGC